TGTATGTCATTTACAAATGTGTATATATGTATAGTATAGTATAACAGGAGCACCGAGAGCACCGGGAGCACACATGTATGCATGTAATATACAGCATATATAGTATAACATTGTACTGTATATACAATGTTAAAGTAGATACTTTGAAATCAGAGAATAATATGAATATAATGATTAGTGAATATACAGATTGGGACAGGGATGTCGGATAGAGATGGTGACTACCCCAGCAAATAGTACATGACTACCAAACCTGACTACTACTACACCATTACCACACCAGTATGACTATACTATTATCATTGAAGCCCATTCTTTACGCTTAATTGACTGAACACTACAACTACTACTACTACTACTACTAGACTATAATATATTATATATAAAACATCCACAAAAAAAAATCTACAGAAAACCCAGTCGACTGACTGACTGACTGACTGACTCATCAAAATATATTACTCTTTCTACTGATAAATATTATAGTACTTCAGTAACGAAAAGCATTGCATTTCATTTAATTTCTCTCTTTTATATATATATACAAAACTGTATATATATATTACTAGAAAAGATATATTATTATTTTTTATACATATATATACAGTATATATATATATATATATATATATATGCAATAGATGTGTTGAGCTCGTATTCCGCACGTGTGCTTATGGACTGGTCGTGTTTTGTTGTGTGTTGTATTTGTCAGTTTCCTAGTCAATAGGTTTGAGTACTGTACTATTGGTTTGGTATGATTTCTTGGGGTGCCCTACTGTGCCACTGGCACTATAGGGACACATTTTGTTTAGGAGAGAGAGAGAAAGAGAGGACACATTGAAACACAATTGTATATAAAAATATGCAGTAATTTGTTAACTCTATTGTTTGTCATCTCTCTCTCTCTCTCTCTCTCTCTCTCTCTCTCTCTCTCTCTCTCTCTCTCTCTCTCTCTCTCTCTCTCTCTCTACCTAACTCTCTGGCAAAACCACAATCTCTACTACTCTAGAGTCCATACATACTATATATATATAATATATATTACTATACCGTATATATCAGCTTATGGTATATGAACTACTAATTTGAATGACTGGTATTTCCTAACTAATAATAATGAAAATAATAATAATATGATTTTTAAATTCATTTTTCATTTCCCTGTGTTTTTTGTTGTATTTAACAAATAAAAAAAAATTTTTTTATTTGACACTCCTCTCTCTCTCTCTCTCTCTCTCTCTCTCTCTCTCTCTCTCTTCAATATATTATATAATATTGTAATATATTATATATATATATATAGTATATTTGAATTAAAGTGAATTATAATTTGTTATATATATATTGAATATATAAAAGTGATAAATCTATAGAAACTAATGAAATATTCTCTCTATTTTTGGTTGAAAGTGTTTTTCCAAATCATTAATAATTACTTACAAATATATATAAACAGTATATACTGTATATTCCTAACGATCTATTTATTCAATTCATTCAATATATATATATAATAAAAATCTAGATTTTATTTGTTTGTAATTCCCATTTGGGATTTTTTTTCGGCTAAAATTTATTACTTTTACTATATTATTGATATTATTGTTTAGTTGTAATCAATAATTTCTATTTCTAATACAATAGTTTTTTGTTGCTATAAATGAAAAAAATATTAAAGTATTGCAAAAAATGATACTATAATATATGCCATAATAAAAATAAAATTTACAATTTTTTTTAATAAAAAATAACAACTTTTATTTAGGGTATTCAATTGATTAATTCATTGGGGGTATAGCGTGGAGAACCGGGGGTATTTAAACATACCCGTCCTCAACCACCATAAATTTTTTACAGTTATCAAATATGTATATAAATTGTATCAAAAATATWWAAAAAAATAATAGTTATTTATGTTTAATTTACATATAATTTATATGGTCTTAATCTGATTGTCATAACAAAATATATATATATATTATATTAATTATATACTATATCAATAAATATCAATAGATTATYAATTTTTTTAAAAAAAGTTAYAAAAATATATAATATGTGATGCTTTTTAACATAAATTATATATATATTTAAATACAATGTGATATATTGGATGGTCAGTCAAAATAAACAATTGAAAGTTACAAAAAAAATTTTTTATCAATATATATATATATAAAATAAAAAGAAATGTTTGGACAAAAATAATTTATAGATATTAAATATTTACATATAAATTGATAATATTTAAATACAGTAATCATAATAATCATAATAATAATAAAGGATAGGACCAGTAGTTTGCGGACACACACACACACACACACAAAAAACTATTGTATTTTATTGACTTTTGGTCAGTCGGTCGATCGGTTGGTTGGCTTGAAATTTGTTTGGCTTTTATATATATATAAAATACTGTACAATATACAGTCAATCACAAAATTGGTGAACGAGGTTTTTTAAGTATAACTAAATAATTAAAACAAATAAATGAAATATATTTTATACTATAGTGAGGTTTGATGGAACCGATATATTAATATAGGTTTTGGAAAAAGTTTGGAGCCTGGTGATTTTAGAATCAAAAATTATCATATCTCTAAAACTATAATAGATATTTGAAAAATTTAAATTGGATATGAAAAGTATTAAAAAATAATTGGACACGTGTTTCAGGATTTTTAAAAAAATTAATCAATTATTTAATAATAATTTTTTAAAAATTATAATATTGCAAATTTAATTAATAAACGTAATGTATGAATGATGTAGTAACTGAATGATATAATTAATGAATGAATACAAACACAATTATTGTTGACTCAATCTTTGTTTACATTGTTTAACTGAAACTGTGATTGTTTTTCAATTTGTTTTACAAGTGATCACAAATCACATACATGTTTCAGCCGAAACTGAGATCAAATTCAGAAAGTTTGTTAGATTTCGTGCAACCGGAGAAACAATGAATCGGATAATGCATCGGATTAGTAAGTTATTAATAATATAATTTTAATTAAATTAATTAATAATTTTTTTATTAAGACATCAGTCTTTCAACATTCAAAAGATGGAGAAAAATGGATGAGGACGATCGTCCTCGTATCACAACAGTAGAAGACGACGAATTGATTGCTGAATCAGCCCTCGAGCATAGATTTGAACCATTAACAGAATGGCGACAACAAGAGGGGTTGTCATTTAATGAACGCATTTCAGTTGCTTCTAATATGACGTTATATCGAAGACTTAATGAAAAAGGTATATCATATAAAAAAATAAAAATTATTATTATTTGTTTTTATTTAATAGGCATTAATAGGTGTGTTGCGGTTGTTAAACAGCGATATAGTATCATCGCAACAAAAGATAATTATAATGATTTCATCAATTGGACATTTGATGACTGGTCCCGAGTGATATTTATAGATGAGTTTGGCATTGATACCAGTGATAATGGGAAAATCTATGTTTATCGGCAACGAGGACAACGTTTCGCCAATGATAATATCACTGTAACCACTCGTAATACACGACAAACATTTGGATTTATCGCTTCGTATGAATAATTACTAACATTTATAAATATAATTTTAATTATTTTATAATACTAATTAAATATTATAATTATAATTTTTAATAGGTTTTCATTTTATGGTTTGGGTCCAATTAAACGCGTTGATAAGTTCAACAAAGAAGAGTATGTGGAATATTTGGAGGAATATTTGCTTCACTACATTAATGATCACTTTGAAGAGGGAAATTTCTTTTACAATCACACACATAACAGCAATTATGTAAAACAATGGATCCAAGAAAGTGGTCTGGGTAATCCTGAAGACCTTGTGATGCCACACCCGCCATGTTCTCCAGGTAACTAAAAATTAATAAAAATTAAATATTTATAAAATATTTTTAGATCTCAATCCAGTTGAGCATGTTGGTGGAATGCTTATATGGCACGAGCAGAAAAGCCAATGATTTGCAATAAGGATGAGCTCTGGACGGTTTTGATGAATGCTCACCTAACATTATCAGAGAATCGCCAGTATTTTATTCGTCTCATCAATTCAATGCCAAATAGACTGAGACAAGTCATCGATAACGACGGACATACAAAATATTAATATATTCTATTTTCACTAAAATTTCCATTAAATAACATTAGTTTTATATAATAAATATAATAATTTTATAATCTTTAAAAACTTGTTTATTATTAAATATTATAAATAGAAAAAAATATTTTAAAAAATTATTGAAAAAAAATGTTTTTAAATATCTCTTCTAACTATAAAATAAATAAAAATAGTTATAAATTTGCAATATTATAATTTTTAAAAAATTATTATTAAATAATTGATTAATTTTTTTAAAAATCCTGAAACACGTGTCCAATTATTTTTTAATACTTTTCATATCCAATTTAAATTTTTCAAATATCTATTATAGTTTTAGAGATATGATAATTTTTGATTCTAAAATCACCAGGCTCCAAACTTTTTCCAAAACCTATATTAATATATCGGTTCCATCAAACCTCACTATAGTATAAAATATATTTTATTTATTTGTTTTAATTATTTAGTTATACTTAAAAAACCTCGTTCACCAATTTTGTGATTGACTGTATATATATTATTTGCATAAAGTATTTGTCTTTATTTTTCTGGCCTAAGATTTATGGGTTTGTTTAACGAGAGTACTGTACTATATATATGGAGTGACCAGTAGTTCATCGATTTATTTATTTATTTTATTTTCTCTTTGAATTGTTATAATAATTGTTGGTTACATTACTGTCCCCTAACATACTATATATAGTATATACAGACACACACACACACACAMACACACTAAACAATTATTTTAAAAAGTTTTACAAAGATTTCATTGAGAAATTGATATTTGTTTTGCATTGATATAAGTTATAGACGGTATACACACACACATAAATAAATACATAATACAAAAAATAATAATAATAACTAAAACTTTCACTTTATGTTTGCTTTTTGTGAAACTATTTGCACACAATTTAGTTGCTTAGCTGTCAACCCGTCTTCAATCTTGACGTTTACCATCAGCTCCGGTGGTATTATCGTTGTTTGATGATTGGACGGATGTGAGGAGGACAGTCTGGCTGCGGCAGCAGCACTACTACTGGTCGAGTCTCGGCCAGTAATGTCACGGGAGTCCAACATTTTCACMGTTTCGGACAGCGCCCAGATATAGTTGTGGGCAAACCTCAGGGTCTCGATTTTGGTCAGTTTGGTTTCATCGGGAAAGGCAGGTAAAACCTTACGAAGCTTTTCCAAYGCYTTGTTAAGCATATGCATACGATTACGTTCCCTATCGTTGGCCTTTATTCGGCGATTTTTCTTAATTTTTTTCACAACAGTCGGACTACGGGCTCGGGTTCTGGATTTCGGAAATCGTTTTCTTGATCTTAAACTGTTGTCCAAATCRTCGMCGCCRTCGGCCGACATAGTATTGGTCGGCGACGATACCGATGAYGACGACGACATCATATCGTTTTCTTTTGTCGACGAATTGCTAATATTGTTGGCCGTCATCGGCGGCGGCGATGTCAGCGAATAGTCGTCGTCGTCGTTGTCCGCATCCATATCCGAGCTGTCGTTGTCGTTGATACTCATGAAACCACTGCTACTTCGGTCGTACGACTCGTTGTCGTCAAATTCGTCGTCCATATCGTCAGAATCGCCGCCAATAAGCGATACGGGAGTCATAGCGGCGGCCGCGGCGGCAAAATGGCGGACATTTTCAAAGGCTTTTGTTAGGCAACGAAACGATTCGGCTGTCATTTTCGTCTTATTTTATTTTATTTTTTGTATTTTTTGTTGAATGTATTGTTACACTAAAAATAAAAATAGTAATAAAAAATTATGACAAGTTCTGACCACAAAAAAAATCATAATAATAATAATAATACTAAAGAAATAGTTAGCCTAACAATACCACCTAATAGTTATAAGTGAACAATAAAAATAAAAAAAAAATTTTTTGGTGTAAAAAATGGACATTTTATGCAACAATTTGTTGCAATGAACCACAAAAAAAAAATTTTTATGGCTTTAAATTGCTTTTATTATTTTTTCTTCAACTTATCCATTGATAGAAATAATAAATAGAAAAAAATAATAATAAAAAACTTTTTTTCTTTTTTTTTAAATATATATAATATATAGATATATATATATAGATATCTACAGTAGTTTGCTATACAATAGACTTAAAAAACTTTTAGAGCACAAAGTGATTGCTTAAGAGAGAGAGAGAGAGAGAGAGAGAGAGAGAGAGAGAGAGAGAGAGAGAGAGAGAGAGAGAGAGAGAGAGAGAGAGAGAGAGAGAGAGAGAGAGAGAGAGAGAGACTTAAACGACTTCTTTTTGTGCGCGTATTTGTGTTGTTTTGTGTGACCGTCCCTTACATACTAAACACGGGTATCACCACTACTGTCCACGTTTTGCATGACTTTTTTTTATATATATTAGAAAAAATAGATTTGAATGGATGTCTTGAAGAAAAAAAACTTTGAGGACATGTACGGCATATTATCAGTGTTTCCCATGGATTAGTAGTAGTAGTAGTAGTGCACCGTTTATGCCGTCCTTTACTTGTCATCATTTGACTCAATACACTGCACACACACACACATACACTAACTATACATCTCTTATAGATATATACCTGAGATATATATAGTGAGAGAGAGAGAGAGAGAGAGAGAGAGAGAGAGAGCAAGAACTCCGGATATTAAAAGAAAACTCTCTCTCTCTCTCTCTCTTGCATTCATAGGTATCGGTGCTCGACATTTATGTGCTCCTCAATAGTGTTGAACGTTTACAACTCCGCTCAGACCTACATTATAGATACAGTATATACAGCGATTTTGAATGAATGGCTATGACAATCAAACTACTACTAGAGCAATAGGTAACAGTGCCCAATATGCACACACACATATAAGAGAGTAACGTTTTGTTACCAAAAAAGTAACTCTACAGTACATACAGAATATATATATTGATAAATACTGTAGCTTTTGCTACGTGTGCTGATTATACTGTACTCTCTCTCTCTCTCTGAAAGACCTGTAGTGTGATGTCAACCCCCCTCTATGTGCTCTATGTTCTCTCTCTCTCTCTCTCTCTCACTATATCTCCCTGTCCTTCAATTGCTCTCTCTCTCTCTCACCGATGGGTGAAATCTTATTGTTAGTCTAAAATAGAGTATATATCAGTGTATCGACATTCCTGTTCCCCCTTTTGATCCCTATTCTCGATCCATCTTTTACTCAAACAATACCGTATATACTGTATAATGAAAGAGCCATTCATTCATTCAGTCATTCATTCATTGAAAATGTATCGAAAAATCTATGTAAAAGAGTAGTTGAAAATCATTGATGAGAACCATTGAAAATCAATGACTAAGAAGAAGACGAAGACGAAGACGAAGTACTAGAAGAAGAAGAATAAAAAGACGACAACGAAGTCGAAGAAGAGGTACTACACGTCTAATCCAATGTCTCTCAAATGTCTTATACGTCACACACAATCACAATATCTATACATATCTTCAATATCTTATCGATGGCTCAGATATAAGATTTATTCAATAAAATTTTTGTTGTCGTCAATTGTTGGGTCAAAACAGAGAGGTCACGATTTTTTGTTGTTGTTGTTGGGAACCCCACTGGGATTCATCAAAAAAAAAAATATTTTATATATATATATATTTATATATAGTTTTTAAAAATCTTAAATATTATACATATATAAAGTATATTGATATACATATATATATATATATATAAATTTTTGTTGTATAAGTTACTCAACAACAACACACACAAAATTATCACAATAGACCTCAAGAGAGAAAAAATGGGACTAAGATTGATAGGACCTGTACCTCGTATAGAGKGATTGGTAGCATTTTTTTTAATGTATATATATGTGCTATATATTTAGGTATTTTTTCTATGCAAATATATATATATAACAATATACAGGTATATACTCAGGGTTAAGTAAGGGGGGGGGGGGGGGGGGGTAAGGCCAAAATACCCCCCCCCTAAGATCGAGAAATTGGGATTTTACCCCCCCCCAGACTTTTTGACCAAATTGAAAAAATTGTCGCTTAAAAACGAGGAGAAATGACCCCCCCCCCCCTAAAATTTCGGCGCCGAAGGCGCCGAAAATTTTTTTGAAATTTATAAAAATTTTAATTTTAGTTGATACTATTTTAGTAAGTGTTTTTATGTTTTTAATATTTATAAAAATCTAATTATTGATTAAAAATAGTTAAAATAACGTTAAAAGTCATCAAAAAATAACATTATTTTAATTAAAATAAACTAAAAAATTAAAAATTACCTATTTGTTGAAAAGAGTAATCATATTACAATTTAAATATAAGTTTAAGAAGTTAATAAAACAATAAATACTTATGTTTTTATTAATAATTTTTAAATTTTAAATAAAAAATTTAAAAATATTTTCAATTTTGTACTTAATATAATTAAACTTTAACGAAATTTGAGTTAAATAAGTAGTATTCAGTCAGTATTTGTATAAAAATAAAAATATATAACAAACTATAAACATTAAGTATTGTTTAAAAAATTAATTATGTTAAAAGTTAAAAATTATTAAAATACTAAAAATAACTCATAGTGTATCATTAATGCTTTTATCAACTATTTTTAAATCTTAAATACATTATTTTATTTTTTTTTGTTAAAATTTAAGTTTTTATTAATTTTAAAAAATTTTTTTAAAAAATATTTATTTTTTGTTAAAATTTAAATTTTTGTTAATTTTTAAGTTTTTTAAGTTTTTTTTTATATTTTTGGAAATTTTACCTATTTTCCCGGGAATTTATACGGGAACTTGTGGGAATTTTATTGAATTTACATGGGTATATTCGGGAACTTAAGGAATTTTTAGGGAATTTTCTCTAGACCCCCCCCCCCCCCCTGATTTTGGATTTTTGAAAAAATTGCCGTTTAAAAATGCAATAAAAATCTTACCCCACCCAATACCCCCCCCCCCCCAAGATTTTTTGAGAATTTTGTAAATTTTACCCCGGTCTACCCCCCCCTAAAATCCAAAACCTTGCTTAACCCTGGTATATACTATAGTTTGATTCATATGTGAAATAATAATAATAATAATATTTTTGATTGTTTGCAATACCTATATATATATTCTATAGTACTATACTCTATCAAAATATTCTTGGATTTTAACCACACAAACAACAAAAATATTTTTTATATATTAAATGTTTTGGAAATAATTTATTGAAAACAATGATGTTTTTTGCACCAGTATTTATTCAACTAAAAACTAACTAAATGAATGATTATTTTATTTTTTCAAAAAAATATATTTATTTTTTCAAAAAAAAAATATTAATGATATATTGAATATATATTTTCTTATTATTCTTTATATTATTATTATTTTCTTTGCGTTGACAAAGGTTTGAATTAAGTCTGAAGAAAAAAAAATAAAATTTTGAAAAAATAGAGGAAAAGGAATCTTTTGTAATGACAAAACACAATACATATATAGAGACTATACTGTATATAACACATACAATCTTTAGAGCCGTACGACGGATCCAATTGAATCACAATCAAGTGATTTACAAGAAAGGGGTAAACCGTGTGGAAGGGAATTGTATTGGACAGCCATCGGAGGGCTTAGTTAGCAGTTTTAAGTGTTGGGATAGAAAGCTATAGGTGTGCTATAGTATGAAGAAGTCCGTGTCCCGTGTTTTGTATGTGTGTGAGTGTGTCGACCGATGTCTTAACAAAAGCTATGATAAAGAGAAAGACTATAAGAGAGAGAGAGAGAGAGAGAGAGAGAGAGAGAGAGAGAGAGAGAGAGAGAGAGAGAGAGCACTACAACAAGCAATTCTTTGAGTGTTTTTGTCTGCATTTTGCACAACAATTCAGTCCAATCTCTCTCTCTCTCATTGCTCTTCTGTACCATAAATTCTTAAGCATCCGATACGGCACTACTGGTCTCACAATAATAATAATAATCACAAACTTTATATATATTTGTCAATTATATGTTCAAAAAACACTACTGTTGTGTATGTGAATCAGTATGAGATGAAAATGAGAGAGACATTAAAAAAAAATCTTGAAAATAAAATAAATACCAAAAATAAAATTGAAAAATCTTGAAATAGTAAATAATAATAATAAAGGAAATTTTTTAAACGACAAGTTTTTACGACCATTATATTTGACATAAATATTATGTGAAATATTTGTAGAAAATATTTGGGGAAAATAAATATAACAAACACTTGTAATATAAGTTTTATTTTTATTTTTATTTTTTTGGTTATTTGAATAAATTTGAATAGTTTTTTCTAAGTACTAAACARTCTAAACTACATTATTATTATTAAATGTATAGGTATTTTAGTTAATAATAATAATACTAATACTTTAATAATAAATACTATTTATATTAAAAAAAAACTTTTAATAAACTATATATTTATAAAAATTTCAATATTTTCTAGAATTAATTTTATCCAGGTATTATTTTTTACAACAGTTATACATTTATGATTTCTATCTAAACATATATTTATTTAAATTTTTTTACTATTTTTTAATCACAATAAAAAAATATTTAACATAATCAGGCTTTGCATCACTAAATGCTAATTATATATATATATATAGAWTTTTCAATAAAAATTTCAATACATAATATATACAGTATATTATATATAATATATATAATTTAAATATAAATACAGTATATCGACAAACAAAACGAAAAAATATACATAAAGTTTATATATATATACAGTAATATAAACTTTTATATACAATACTATTAAAAATATAAGATATTTATTGAAAATTGTTTGAATAAAAACGACTCACCTTTTTCTACTTTGCAAATATAATAGTGACGGTTATATCAATATATTATTATTATTATTATTATTATTATGTCAAAGAAGTGGTAAAATTCCTCTGTTTTCTTGATATAGTCAGAGAGGCTCTCAACAAAAAAAGTCTCTTTACATACACACAGAATAAATGGATCAAAACGATTGCTCTGACGATTAGCTGCCGAAAGTCTATGGGAAGCACAGGCCTACTTGAATAAGGCAGGTGTGTGTGTGTTGAGGAACGGTATGAGTGAGTGAGAGAGATGAGGCACTGCTACTATATTTTATTGACGGTGTGCTTAATGGATTGGTATATAGATTTTTTTATATATAAATATTTTAGTTTTCGTTGGACACTATTATGTAAAAATCTTCAACATTCAATACATATAAATATATAGCTCAGCATAACTATGTAAAAGAGCGAGAGAGAGAGAGAGAGAGCACTTGGAGGTCACACAACTATACCTCTCGTTGTCGTTTGAAGTTTCACTGATGATAGTGTATGTGTGATATACTAAACTGTATGTTTGAATGTGAGTCTAATATGAGTCCTGTGCACAACCTTTTATAGTCGTGTCACCCCTATGTCCGTATGGAGGACCGCCTCCTAATGTGTCGTTCCCCTCAGTAATATACAGGTCCCCAAATATACAGAATATATATATATACGGTATTCACAATCAGTGCACTTTTTTTGTTGTTGCAATGTCGGAGCTTTTAGTATACACGCGACTCTCCTAAAATGTCCCATTACTTACACTGTCGACCCCCACTCCCTTTACCGATCCACCATAAACACCCAGTACTAGTGCCAGTGCTATGGTTTTTAGGTCCGCCCTAAATATTCTCTCTAAAAGCTTTAATATATATATATATATGTTTCTATACTAAATGCCTGATCTCTCTCTCTCTCTCTCTCTCTCTCTCTCTTTCTCTGAGAACTTCTTAGAATATTCATTGAAAATAATTGCCATTAAAAGGAAAGGTATGTCTTTTATATATAATAATAATAATAATAATAATACTTGTTATATATATTCACATACAATACAGTACATTCACATATTATATAATATACGGTACAATATATACGGTATATGAAACACTGTGCTGTTTGATTAGGACTGAGCCGTCTCTCTCTCTCTCTCTCTCTCTCTCTCTCTCTCTCTCTCTCTCTCTCTCTTCGACATCGACTTTGAAGAGACCAATCGTTTGTATGAAATTTTAGTTCTCATATATAAAATAAAATATTTTTAAAAACTTATTATTATTATTATTTGCAAACCCTTTTAAAGAGACGGTATGCCAAACCAACTGAAGGGGTAATTACTTTAATATGCGTTTCCCTCTCTTTTTATTTATTATGTACTCCAATAAAATACACTACAAATATATTGAATATAATACATATAATATGAGATAGGGTTGGGTTGTATTTGGTACAGATATGTGATATCAATCGCTTAGTTTTGGGATAGGGTTTACTTGTCTGATAGTCATACTCCTAGATAGTCATACTGATGAGTATACAGTATGAATTGTATGTACAGTATGTCATAGATAGATAGGACATGTAGTCGTCTAAAAGGGTTCTCTCTCTTTCTCTCTTTGAAGGGTCGACACACGTAAGCAACCAAATCAATGAAATTAATTGAATGAATGGGAATAGTATGGCTAACAATTGAAATTTGTTTGAAAATTAAAGGCACAACTAGTCCTATAAGATAGGTATGTGTGTGTGTGTGTGTCAATGTTTGTCAGTGTATTGTTATATAAATTGTCGACAATTTAGATGACAATGAAAATTTCTAGATATAGTTATTATTATTATTATTATTATCATTATTGCCATCAAATTACTCCTAACAGATGTGACATAACATTATATTATGTAGGAATGGTATCACCAAAACAACACAAAAAAACTGATAATAATAAGAGAACAGTTATCTCAAAAATTGTCTCCCAAACATATATATATATATATATGGACTCATATTTATGGTGATGTCTATCCTCAGACAAACGAGAGAGAGAGAGAGAGAGAGAGAGAGAGAGAGAGAGAGAGAGAGAGAGAGAGAGAGGAAAAACTAAACAATCAATTATTGACAACAATTTTATTTTTTTTAGTGTAACAATCAATGAGAGGCCAAAAAAAGGATACCCAATAACAACAATAACCGTAAAAAATTAGACATTTTTCTGAATGAATGAATGAATAAATGACTGAATTAGTAAAAACGTATGAATAGATAGATAAAGAGAGAAAGAGAGATAAGTATTGTATAATAATAACAATATTTTTTTTGAAGGGAAAGTCATGACCTAATTGTTATGACAATTAGTATTTTTTTAGGTATTGATACTATATATATACACACTATTTATATTTGTAACAAACATATAATTTTAGAGAGAGAGAGAGAGAGGCTTAGGGATGAAAAAATTGTACGGTTAGGTATYGCCAAACATTACTCTTAAAAAAATACAAATATTATGTAGTTTTCAATTTATGTTATGTATATAAACCATATATTGTATAAACAACGAGAAAAAATCATTTCCTGTCCATTATTTCATTTGACTAAACGATATGAGGAATTGTTTGGTTGAAAAAAAAACTTTAAAAAAAAACWTTTTTTTTGTGGTGAACTGGATTTAAGTTTCAAAAAAATATATATTTAAGTTTTTTTTTGTCAACAATAGTTATAATAGTAGATCAATAGAGATATTTTGTGGGAATATATTTGAATATATGAAAAATTCCAACGAAATTTTCTTCTGTATATTACTAATATTTTCTTAAAAAATATATACAGTATTTTAAAAATATAACAATATATATATAKATATATATATTAATTACTGTAAATTATATTATACTGCAAATTATTTTCATTTAYAGTATTTAATTAATTA